TGCTTCGCTTCCATCCCCGAAACACATCCACAACAAGATCCTCACAGCCTCATTATTCTGCACAGCTCTGCATACAGAATTCAGCTTGTTCTCCCAAAAGGTTGGCTCAGTCATTTTGTTAACAAACAACATTTTGTTGTGATCAATAAAATAAGCAGTTCTGACTGCCAGGATGCACACAGAAGAAAAGGAAATTGGGAATAAAGATAAAGAGGCACTAGTTTAGCAGAGCAGCTTTGACTATAACCACACTCACATCCCCAGAGTGCCACCAAACCTTAAATTAGTTTTCGCCTACTGCGTGCTAGACCCAATAAGCCAATAATGTTCTTCTCTCCTGCAGCCCTACTGAAATGGCCGGTCCTAAAGCACAAGCTGATGGACGATGCAAGGGGTCCTTCTTGTGCGTGAGGGAACACTAAGAACAGTAAGCCAGCCACGCACAGAAACTGTTGCTACAGCCTGCTTGGCCTTTTGCACCCCTGAACAACTGTTTTATAGGCAGTATTTCACACAAAAGAGACTAACAATAAATTGGGCTCTTCGCCTTTTAAACTTTTCATAAAGCTGATTAATATAATCTATGCTAAAGGACAGAAGCTCCTATACAAGCAGTTCCAGCTCTTCCGCTATATAAAAAAGTAAAAATTGTGACTTTAAAGCAACACTGCATTCAGCTGGAGTCATCCTAAGTAATGTTACAATGCAAGGATGCCAATTTCTTAAACAAGCACAACTGTAAAAGCTAAAATCACAGTCCAGCCAAATTTCCTTTGGAAATAGGCAGTAGGGGAAATGGTCAAACCTTAATTTAATAAAAATAATCTTTCCTAGACCACAGCCCTCCTCCACCATTATTTCTACCTCTGACCACCACAGGTGCCTGATAGAAGAGAGCTCAAAAGCCGTCTGTGTAGCTAGGAAGGGGCTAAACCAGAAGTCAGTCAAACCCCTGGGCATTACTTTTTTCATTACACCAATTCCCCTTGATAATTAATTCCATTATTGGAGGGGACAGAAGGGAAAGGAAGGGGAGTTGATCCTACAGCGGAGACATCATCCGGAAAAGGAAGGAAAAGGAAGGAAAAGGAAGGAAAAGGAAGGAAAAGGAAGGAAAAGGAAGGAAAAGGAAGGAAAAGGAAGGAAAAGGAAGGAAAAGGAAGGAAAAGGAAGGAAAAGGAAGGAAAAGGAAGGAAAAGGAAGGAAAAGGAAGGAAAAGGAAGGAAAAGGAAGGAAAA